CAGATAGGAAGAAATTCAGCGACTAGGACTCCCTAAAAATAATGAAGTAGAGGTCTACAGTCTGTGCTAAAAATCTCAAATATCTTTCTATTCCATATTACAGGACCACGGGCAATAGAACCCAGGCAAGGGAGGAGGAGACAAAAGGAGCCTCTTGTCCTCAACAGCCATTCACTGGTTAACCCATAAAATGCCACTAATTCGAGAAGTATAAGAACATCACAAGCATTTTCTAATGACAATAGGAAACAACAGTAATAGTTTTCACACCATTTTTTCCTTTTGAACATAAAGCCTTTTAAAATTTCCATTACTGGCCATGGAAGGGTATTTTACACATGATTAAACAGTCACAAGAATTAGAAACAAATCACTTAACTGGGGCATGGTGTTTAGAAATACATAACCCAAATCCTATTGTACTCTGTGCTCTAACAGATACAATTAGAAAATATCTTTAATAAAAATATTCACCAAACAAGCTTGCTTTTATCACATGCCCCTTATAGAGTTTCTACACTTAGGGGTCTACGCTAAATCTCAAGAGATTTGAGTTTGGGCTAGTGCTATGAAAACTTCATTGATAGGGACCCAGAGGCAGAAGCCATCCTCCAGGCAAAAGAAGCTAGACAGAGCAAGTCTTACCATTTGTTTTCAGAGCCACGAGCTTCCTGACTTCTCGACACCAATTGAGCTTCTTCTGGCTTTCCAGGGAAGCCTGGATGCTTCTGTCGATGAGAGCTTTGTGGATGATCTCCCGAAACTGTGGGCAAAACTGGCAAGTTCTGAACATTTCCAGCGTGTACCGGTGCATGGTTTTAAAATGAGGAATGATCCCATTGGTAGGTTTAAAAATGTCCTCTGGAGTTCTCTCTCTTATCTTCACAGCTTTCCGCATATTGCTCAAATACAAAGCCTGGGGAAGGAGTTGTTCAGCCATTGTGCTCTCCAACACCTGAGGAGGAGGGGGGAAGAAGCCCATTCCGTTAGCCTGACTTTGATACCACTCCTATATACCTGCCTGCAGGAAACCCCGGTGTTTGATCTTGTCATTACCCTAATCTGTAGGCACAAGATCTTAGTCACCTCTACTCCCAGGATACTAGCTGGCCTCAAAGATTAACTCACACCGGACTGTTTTAAGTTACATCACTTTTAAAGATTAGTCTAAACAAGAGAAGGAAGGCGGAGAGTGGGTACTGAGGAGGAGGGGGATAACCCGTGTTTTCAGTAATGTCTGTCTGTCAGGGAGTCAAGCCTGTCTGTCAGCAACAGGTACTGCGCCTCAAAATCGACTTAAGCTCCCACTGCACTCAGATGCCGCTCTGGAACAGCTGCTGGCTTTGGGGAGTACTGAATGCCAATTAAGGGCACAATAGTAGGTCTTCCCTTAAGACCAGCACCAAGCAATCCCAGCTTCTGGGTAAAGTCTAGATTTATCACTCCCTCCCTGTGATGGAATGACAACAAATATTTTATGAAAAATCCTGCAATTTTATGCTGTCATCTAGGCTGCTAGTCTTTAGCCCCCCCAAAGAAGTATTTGTAAGGATTTTATTCATAAAATGTATTATAATATTTATAAAGAGTAAAAACTGAATGTTTTATAACCAACACAAAAGTCTATTTCCAGCAAACTGCTTCATAATTTTAAACACAAACAGCACTTCCTCAAAGCCTATCATTGGACTTTATAACAATAGGCTAAGAAACAGAATACCAATAATAGAACAAATAAACTCTACATTTCTAGTAATAGACATTGGAGCTTAATTAGTTCAACTCAACTACCAACCAAACTTTTTCTTGGTTTTTTAAATTTTTTGTTTGTTTGTTTTAGAGATGGGGTCTCACTATGTTGCCCAGGCTGGTCTTAAACTCCTGGGCTCAAATGATTCTCCCACTTCAGGATCTTGAGTGGCTGGGACCACAGGCACTGCGGCACCACCATATCCCGCGCAGCCAAATTGTATCATTGCTCTTCAGGTACGAACACTCAAATGCATTTCCACCCTGTCCTATACCCTGAAATATTCAAGCATATTCAACTGGTGGAGGAAATGAGAGTCTGGAGCAGACAAGGAAAGGAGTTTCAGCCAGGAGACCACTCAAGACAAGTCAAAGAAGTGTGCAGACAAAGACAGAATCTATGACCCGCGCCAACAGCGTGGGATGACGTGAATTAACATAACGTGGGATCTCTCCAGTGTGCAGCTCTGGTTCCCTACTCCTTAGTAGGGTGCCTCACCACACATCCTAATTTCCAAGAAGACAAAGACAATTTCAGAATACAAAGATATTCTCTAGGAAGTTTTGCAGCGATTGTTTAGCCTACTCGCGCATCATACTATCTGCCAGGGCAACCCAGTTGATAAAGATGTTAAACCTGTGTAAGAAGGATAGGAAGAAACCTGGATTTTTGGGAAACCACTGGGGGCATCTAAGCTCTCTTAAAGCCATTGATAAGGTGGTCTAAATTCTGGTGGCCGACTCAAAGGAGAAAGTTTGGATTAGACGACTCTGAGGTCTCTTCCGAGGAGTTTTGTGGTGGTAGTTTTGGACTGGGATTCTTAATCTGATTGCCGGGAGAGGCCAGGGAGAAGTCATTCTCTGGGTCAGATAGTGATCTCTCCTATGATCTCAGACATTCCCTGCAGGTAGAATTGGGCAAAGTCTTAGCAGGACTACAGACATAATGAGGGGACAAAAACACCACATACACTTTTCCTTTATGGAACAGCAAAAGTCTCTTTCACAACGTCATTCATCCATCCATGCATCTGTCCATTTAACAAACACTAGCTGACCACCTAATGAAGGCCAATCACCACACTTGATGCTGGGGCTAAAAATAAAAAATGACCTTATTCCCTGCCTTGAAGTCACAAACCACCTTAGTCTGCAGCTAAGGCAATGAAGGTACAGGTCCTGTGCAGGTCCCACAGCCATTCATAGGCAGAGCTTTGCACACGAGCCAGGTTTTCCAGTACCTGCCTCTTCCAATTCCCACAACACACTGGCGGCTACAGTGCCTGCCACTCTCAGATGGGAACAGACCGGCAGTAGGAAGATTTTAAACAAACTAGGTGTTGCCTCCTGTTGCTTTTCTGACTTTTTTATTTTTCTCTTCTGGACCTAAACATTTTTCAGCAAAGATCTAAAATAGTGAGAGAGCTGTAAACCATGTGCAAGACATGCAAATGTCAATATTCGATAGCCCAGTGTGACCTCATTCATATATTTAGCCTTGCACAACCTGCAAAATTGCCTCCTTAAAGAAATCAAAACCCACTGCCCAAGTGTCCAGTTCCTGGACTTCTCCACACTTAAGATTAAAGAATAAATTTTTCTGACATATGATAATATCCTTATGTGCAAAAAAAAAATACAATATTAGTCTTGACATTTTGTTTTTACATTCATTACCTCACTGCCTTAATAAATTTCCCAATTTTTGTCACAAGGATCAATGACATTCTATAGAACTTATTCATTACTCAAACTCTTCTCCACCTTGTTTTATTTCCCACTCTGGACAAACATTTATGTCCATGATGTGGAAATCTATGAAGTATTTATCAACAAATACGTCATCCGAATATTGGGGAGTACGCCTCCAAACATTCAAAAATTGTACAAAGAATTGCCAAAAAAAAAGAAAAAATCAAAGTAGAACCTTAGACAATGAGACTGGAGCACTAACTGGCTGGCCAATAATCTGGGACATCAGGATTGTGGTCCAGAGACTCTTTAATTAACAGTGGTTCTCCCAAAATGCTGCCCTGGGACACTCGACCAGACTGGCTTTCCAAGGAAAGCAGATCAGACCCAGAGAGAAGTGAAAACAAAGGGGGCTCAAAAAGAGCCAAGCTCCTTCCTTACTTAATACCACTGCTTTCCTGAGAGACCAGGTGGCAGGATGTGGGACGACCTGGGCTGACAAAGACTGTCTGACTGTGGGGTAGGGGCTGGAGCAGCAGCCTGCAGATCTCTGCGGAAGTGGAGCCCCCCAAAGGTAGGTTACCAACGCACTTCTACATGCATACTTCGCTTACACGTCTGCAACAGAAACAGAGGGACCCGAGCACCGACCCCACCGTCCTGCACAGACCCCTGGAAGCTGTATCTGGGAAGGTGGCGGGCTGAAGCCCCCCGACTTCGCCTACTCTGGCTGCCCCCCGTGGCACCTCAGTGCCCTTGGGCTGGTTGTGCACAATCTAGGAAGAAGTCACAGTGCTTCTGCAAGGTCTACGTGGCCATGGGCATGTAGCGCTTCATTGCAAAAATAGACACGAAAAGGAGCAAAGCACCAACGACCACCCGCGCAAGGGGCCCGAGGGGCGACTCTCCAGCAGCCAGCTGCAGCTTAAGTTCTCTGCATTATCTGAAAGGAACAGCTGGCTGGAGAAATCCAGGGCTGTCACCCCAACATCTGGAGCAGCTACCTCAACTCCCAGCACTTCAAAACCTGGAATGGGAACGCAGGGCCAACAAATGCCCCTCGAGGACCTCTGCAAGACCAATGCCAAGTAGACGGCGCCAGCCTGGGGGCTGCCGCCCCGCGCGCGCCCGCAGCCCTTGGCCGCGGTGAGCCGGAGGCAGACGGCGCAGGGAGGCGCGGCGTTACCTGTCGGAGCCGCGCGATCCTCTCCCGCAGTCCCGCGTCCCGGTCAGGACAGGCGCGCGCCGCTGGCGGGGGTCGGGCCGAGGCTGCGCGCCATGGACGCCCGGAGTCGGGCTCGCTCGCTGCCGGGGGTGTGATCTCTGCTGGCGGCTGTCCTCGCCGCTCCGCCCCCGCGGGCTAGCTGCTCTCTGCACTCGCCCGCCACGAAGGCTGCAGACTGCGCAGTTTCCTTTTTTCCCTTTCAGTTGTACTGCCCGCGACCGCCGGGGATTTCCAGGGACTTTCCATCCAGTCACGTGACGCGCGCGTCCCGCGGGGACGGCCGGCAGGGGGCGCAGGGGGGCTCAGGAGGCGAGCAGTGCGCCAGGCCCCCGCCCGGCCCGCCCCGCCCCGCCCCGCCTGCCGCCGCGCCGAGAAACCTCCTGCGCCCCGCCCCGGGGTGTCCCCGCGTGAGTCACCTGGGCATTTCGGAAGCTGGGCCCAACGTCACATCCATGTGGAAATCGCAGTGATGGGAAGTGGAAATGAAATAGGTTCTTTTTCGCAGCCGTTTTTCTGCAGAAAATCATCAACTGTGGAGAAGAAGAAGGGAAATAAGAAAGAAAGAAAACCCTAAAAACCACCAGGCCTCCTGGACCACAGGCCTCGGGCAGAATTTGAAAAGTTTGAGCTGCGCACGTGATGAGCTCGGAGGGGGAGTCCTAGCCAGGGCCCCGGTGGGGATTTCTAGAGAAAGAAGCAGTACAACCCGGGACCCCAGCCTGGGTGGGGTGCAGGTCCGAGGAGACAGGCGACCCCGTGGTCCTGCGGGGTCCGGGGCTTCGGGGTCGAGGCCAGTCTTGGACAGAGTGAGGAGTCAGAACGACCCCCACCCTTATCCCCGCGCTTGCTCCATTTCCTCTTCTCTATTTCTGCACACCACGCGCCCAGGTGGCATCACATTAAATAGCATTTCAGTTTAGAAAGCGCTTCCCTAGTCTGGTTACGTGTTTCCTTGCGTTGTGTTTCCAAGGCTCATTTATTAGGTGTGTTTTTAGCTGTCCTGATAATTAGTTCACCCCCGGGATGCTAACGGCTGCTAATACTTTGTGCCTCCTGCTCCCATCCCCCATGTGCTCTTGGCTTGGTGATGCACTGCTCAGCCTTCATCTGGACGGTGAGTCACGGGGAAATGGGAGCCGACCACCTGGGCGGTGGAGGTGCTGGAGCTGTGGAGGGAGGGGCCTTAGGGCGCTCTTACTGCCTTGCTGCCCTCTAAGCACCGGCTCCCTTTTGGACCATCTACTAGAATGGCTAAGCTGGAAGCAGATTGTAATAGCCTGTACTATTGTCCCCTTACGTATGCTTAGGAATTCTTGTCAGGTTTATATTGCAAGGTGTGAATTAGAAAAGGATGACACTGTCTGTACTGAGGACCTGCAGAGACTGGGTGGGGACTGGATGGAGGGTGGCACTTTTTTGGCAAAGGGAGGTTTAGAGAAGAGAGTCGATAGTGGCTACTGGCCCAAGGCTAGTCCTGGTCTTTTTAAACCCATAGCTGGATTTTTTTCCGGCTCCAAATCTTTTGTTATTTGTTCTCTTCTCCTTCGCAGATGTTTCAGCTGTCAACACTCAAACAATGGGTAGTCAACTTGGTAATATAAAATGACATTTATCAGGTACTTACTATATGCTTATATGTGCTTTTTTAAAATTTCAAAATATTAAGGAGGTACACATATTTTTGTTACATGGATACCTTTTACAATGCTTAAGTTGGGGCTTTTAGTGTGCCTATCACCTGAGTAGAACAGTGTTCATTGAACCCGATAGGTAGGTTTTTTACCCCTTCTTCCCTCCCCCTCTTTCTTAATTTCCAGTGACTTTCGCATCTCTTTGTGCCCGTGTGTGACCATCAATTAGCTTTATGTATGCATTTATATGAAGCTTAAGAAGCTTAAGGCATTTGCCCAAAGTCTACACAACCAGAAAGTGGCAGAGCCACCTGTGGAATTAGGTAGGTCTGTCTTTCTCTAAAGCCCATACTGATAAATCTTCATTATTAGACTCTTCCTTTCAGGCAAGGTCCTATAAGATTTCAAGTTTCAGGGGCCCTGTTGGTACTCTGACCCCCGTTCTCTCCAACGCATCACAGTCACTTAGCCAAACATGGACCCCTGGGCAGAATGTGGCTTGGGAGGCAAAAGGGCCTTGGTTCCACCCTCAGGAAACCTCCTAGACTTCTGTTGAGATGATGAAAGAAGATGATGTCTGTAACAGAACACCCTGCACAGAATGTTAATCCTCAGATCACTCTCCCTGGCGCTTCTTTGTAAACACAATCTGCATGCTCGCCCTCATCTGTCTGGCTCTGACGCTGCGACACTTTGTGCTGCATCCAGTGCCCCTTTCTGGCTCACGTCTTGCTCCCTGGTATGATGAGCTAGGAGTGCAATAAGGAAGAGTGACAAGCCTGAAAGGCCACGTTTCATACCTGCCACTTCCATTGCCCCAACGTGGCTGCTTTGCCATCTTGCCTGCCAGGATTTGTGACAAGGGTAACAGCAGGCAGATACAGGAGTGGTCTGTATCCCTCGATTTTGTTCTACCTCTATTTTCCACAGTTCTACTGTTGAGCTTGTTGATTCATCTGTTGATTCCACAGTTCTACTATTAAGCTTGTTGATTCCCCACCCCAAAGCAGTTATTACTGTCCTTTGTAGCTTCTAAATTGGGGCTTTGTTGGGTTAGACACATAGCTTTTCCCTTTTACTGCTTAACAAGACCAGTAAGAATTTTCTTGGTGGTGGTTCGGAAAGAAAGAATAGAAGAGGAGAGAGTATAGATGGAGTGACTTCTTATGAAAAAAGGGGATATAAAATTTGTTGAAGGAATTAAAAACAAAGAGATCAAAGAGATATAGAATGCCCAGAAACCTTGAAAGGGACTTTAATTTTGCTATAGACCTTGTAAAGTTGGATGGAACTCTTCAAAGAGGAAGGGACATTTATTAACATCTAGACACTTAGGAGGGAAAATGTGTCTCCTTATTAGCGGAAATAGGGATTGTGGTTATGTGGGGCGTTTTGCAGAGTTTCTAAGTTGGGTGCCATTTTCACCATGGTGCCAGTGTTCATGCATCATGAGCCGCATAAAATGAGCACATGTGACCTCTCGGAATTCAGCGGTACCAGTAGCGGACCAGCTTGTATGCTTGTATCACACACAATGGAAATGATGTGCATGTCAACATGGTGGGGAGCAGGAGAAACCTAATGAAAGTGAGGCACCTGTGACAAGTGGGAAAGGGACCAGGCTCAGCCCCAGTGCAGGTCGTGAACCTTTCTTAATCAAGAATCAGTGACGGCTGGGTCCAGTGGAAGGTGCCTATAGTCCCAGCTGCTCCAAAGGCTAAGAGGCCAGAAGATCGATCCTTTAAGTCCAGGAGTTTGAGTCCAGCATGGGCAGCACAGCGAGACTCAGACCCTAAGAAGAAAATAAATAAATAAATAATAAGAAAATATATTTGAAAAAAAAAATTCAGTCTTTCTGAGTGTATGGAATTCCAGGGCATGGCAATCATGGGTCAAACTAAAATTGGACATTTTATGTCTGTTGTACAATTGTCCCCTCCCCTTTTCCCAGCACTATGCTCTCTTGAAAGGCAGATTCTTGTTAAACATATTTTAAAGCAGCCTCTTGTGAGTATAGATAGCAGTTGAGTTGTTACAGAGTAATTTTGAATCCTGCTTCAGTTTTTCAAATCCTGCTTCAAACATTACTAAAAAATAATGTTTGCCCTTTCAAGCCCGTTGCCAGAGCTAGTTCTGAGAACACAAGAGAAGGTCTTTGTGGATTATAACTGTGAGAACTGAAATAGTGACATCATAGATTTCATCATCATATGAAGGCCAAATTCTACGGAAATGCTGTTTCTTATCTAAGGACCTCAGATCCCTTACAGGTGTTTTCTGGGCTGAATGGAGAAAGGAAGACCCACCATGGTGGAGGGACGACTACAGTAACCCAGTGAGTCACTAGTAACAGGAACAAAGACTCTGCACTGGAAGGGAGGCAAGTTAGTTTACTGCCAAGTATAGCTCTTGTCCCACTTTGCCTGAAAGCATGGATGCTGACATCGAAAACTTGTCAGAAAATTCATTGCCCCTATGAATTCTGATTTAATTTCCTGTCAACACTCGGCAAAGAAATTTTATTTTACGTCATGAATCAATATTCAATTCTTGGTTTCATTTCTGTTTTTGTGGAGGCTGCTATTAATGACCAAATTTGAACAATGACAAAAAGCCCAGAAATTGATATTATTAGGAACCAACTGGTGTTCAGTGTTGGTTTTAGCAGTGCACTGATGCTCACCAAGATAAATCAGTGCCTGTTATTTGGAAGAGTCTCAGACATTGTGAAAATTTGTCCTTGACACTCTTCCTTTGTCCTTCTGTCTCCTCAGTGCAGTTTGGGTTCTCCATAGTCCTGCCTCCTTGGCACTCCTCTCCCCCCATCGCCATTAGAAAGGGATTTGGCTTTCATTCTTTCAGGGACCTGTTTTCTTGGACTGGTTAATAAGGTAATTCATGCTCTTTTTTCAAACAGATTGCCACGTGTTATTGTGCTGTATTTCTTGAGAAACCATTTTTATTGAAACCAGAACTTTCTGGAGCTTAATGGTAGAAATTCCAAGCCCCTTAGAGGGATGAAAAAGGAGTTGCTTACATTTCTATGGTTCTGAGAGTCTGCGGTTGTAAAACACACCATGAATTTAATAACTAAATGGTGGTGGGGTGGGGGCAACAACCTCATTTTATTAAATGTACACATGTTCTTTCTTTTACTCACTAACAACAGCCTACATTTATTGATGTGATTGCCGCCTTCTTTCTTCTTCACCATTCATGTTTGATTCTAAATTTTCATCTTGTAGTTTTAGGATTCTTCTGAGCTGATCTTGGCCCTTGATTGTTGTGCATTGCAATGCTCAGATAGGCTGGTTTTGGTAATCTGGCTCTTTTAGCCTCTTTAGAACTTTAGGGTTGACCATAGCATTACATATTCCTTTAACCTTCTCCTGAAGGTCTGTTGGAAACTGAGAAATAGTCCTTTAAAATGCTCTGTTCAGTGAGCAGGTACCTACTCTAGCTTTGGAAAGGAATTTGGCACTAAGCCTTTAATCATGAAGGTTGGCTATTATCTCCATTATGTATTTAAACAGCTTTATCTCCATGTGGGGACTAAAAAGGTCCTTGGTTCTTGCTTTGCCAGAAACAATGAACTTTTGTTCTGTGATTATCTCTTTTAGCTTCAATGTAGCATCATAGTGTATCTCTTGAAAGGCATTTTATTCAACAAATAGGAATCCAAATTTAGGTAGACTGAACTTCTTGTTGAGCTACACTAAAAATGACTCAGCAGAAGTGAGTACTTGGTGTTCCTTTATTTTGCTGAGCTCAGGCCTACTTGTCTCAGGGCCTTTGCACTTACAGTTCTTTCTGCAGGGACTGCCTCCCTCAAGTCCTCAGCATTCAATTTTCTGCTTACGTGTCATTTAATCAGATAAACATCCCTGACTACCGCATTTCCTATCTCTCTCTCTTATTCTCTTTGCAGTATTTATCACAACTGAAAATTCTTTATTTATCATTTATCTATCTTTTCCCACTAGAATGAAATTCTTTGAGAGCTGGATTATTGCATATCATTGTTCACCTCTGTATCCCCTGTGCCCAGAAATGTGCCTGTTGCATAGTAGGAACTCCAAAATAATTCAGATGAATGAGGCCGGGAGAGGTGGCTCACGCCTGTAATCCTAGCATTCTGGGAGGCCGAGGCGGGCGGATCACTCAAGGTCAGGAGTTCGAAACCAGCCTGAGCAAGAGTGAGACACCCGTCTCTACTAAAAATAGAAAGAAATTAATTGGACAGCTAAAATATATAGAAAAAATTAGCCAGGCATGGTGCCACATGTCTGTAATCCCAGCTACTCGGGAGGCTGAGGCAGAAGGATCGCTTGAGCCAGGAGTTTGAGGTTGCTGTGAGCTAGGCCGATGCCACAGCACTGTAGCCCAGGCAACAGAGTGAGACTGTCTCAAAAAAGAAAAGAAAAAAGAAAAAAAAGACAGATGGAATGAAATGATTGAGGGAATGAATGAGATAGCCTTTCCATGTACACTTCTAAGCTTGTAAATGCACAGACAATGAGAACCACCTCTGTTTATTTTTTGCCATCTGGGTCATTTCCCGTGAAGTTTTAAACTACTAACTGTGTACGAAATTTTAAAATGTTTAAAAAAATGTCATAAAATTGAAGCAATGTAATATTTTGGGAGTCCAAACACATCAATGCAGTTTACTGAGCCTAAGTGTTGAGTTCATCCTAAGTGATTTATCTTTTTGCATAGGTAAGGCACTAAAGAGAAGACCAGAAAAGAAGAGGTATTGCTTTTAAAATTTCAGTCCCCAAATGTACTACTAATTGTCTTTAAGTAAAACTCCATTCATTGAAGAAGAAAATAATCTGCCTCTAAATAAGAAAGTATGTCCCTGAAAAGAACCAGACCAATCATTTTCCTCTTTCTTGAATGAATAAACATCAGCAAGGAAGAGACACACAGTCCCTCTGCCGGTACGTTTAGTATATGTGTTTATTTATGTTTATCATTCTTTTGTTTACAGCAAAGTGGCTATTTTTCCATATGCATGTTTAGAAGCTTTAAAATGTTTTATTGTGAACTTTATTTTTTAATTTATTTGTAAATGAGCGTATCACATGCAAAAATATTAATCTTATATTTTATGTTAATGGAAAAACTTATTAATATTTTCTCAACTGGTCTTGTTCTCATAAAAGCCTTAGAATTTAGGCTCATTGATTTCTAGTTTTTATTAGAAAACATTTAGAAACTTAGAAGAAAATTTTGCAATTGCCATGTTTTTAGTATGTGCTTCACAAGGAGTTGGAGGATGAGGGTGGGGGTGGGGTGCCTGAGTTTTTCTTCCTTGAAATAAATCTGCTGAATCTGTCAGTTCTCTAGAGAAAAACAACAAGATGGGCATTATGCTTCATCTCTAGAATGAAGTGTAATTTTTCTCTTGAAACGAGTGACTTTCATGGTATCTTATAGAGGTACTAAAACAAATCTCCACTCGTCACAATTTAGTTCTGAAATGAACCCATAAGAAGAAATGCCTTGATTCTTGAGTCTTTCATGGGTGGGTGTGGTGTTCTCTGGTTGAACAAGTCACTCTTTGGTTGGTTCCCAATGATGTCAAACATCCAAACCTGAGCAAATGTGGGATTTGAGATTTAAGAAAAAAAAAAACCATGATGAAAGAACTTAATTCTCACATATATATATCCCTGGCTTTGAACTTCAGGAAAATTATTATACTTCTTGGGTGGCTACAAAGTTCTTGGCCTTGGGCATTTTAACTATAATTGCTCAAAAATGCATAGCCTGTTATGTCTTACTCACCAGCTACAGTAGTTTTCTTTGTGATAACTGAACTTTCAGTGCAGAACTTTGGATGCTGCTGTTTTTAGAGTGCCTTTCTAGAGCTAAATCAGATAATTTAAATGAAAAACTCACCACAACAAAACATAAATAACCTTTCCAAACTAATGCTCATTTACTCTAAGCCTTAAAGTTTCTTGTCTGTCTGAGTTAATAGTGTTTTTAAATTTTTAGAAAACATTTCAAGTCAAAAATTCATTTTGAGAGACTTTAGAAAAAATGGTAGAACTTTCAGCCAAGCCAGGAGATTATTTTTTTCTTTCTTAAATTGACCTCATTTTGCTCATTTATAAAATAAATGGTTTGAATGCACTGGTCCCTAAGAGTCATCCCAAACCCAACATTTTCTCCTTCTACGGTTTCATCAAGAAAATGGAATATGAACTAATATTACAGTGGATGACATTTGCTAAAAAAAAAAAATCTGAGTACAGGGTCTGAATCAGACTGCTGGGTTCAAAGCTCAGCTCTGCCACTTACTAGTTAAATGACCATGGGTAACTTACTTGCTTCTATGCTTTAGTCCTGCATTTGAAAAATGGAGATAAGAATAGGACCTATAGTTATTAGGAGGACTAAATAAATTAATACACGTGATGTGCTTAGAACAGAGACTGACGCATAGTAAACACTCAACAAATGTTAGTTATTATTTACTCAGTTTATTGACAGGATAAGCCATTTTATTCTAAGATTTGCTTGGAATTAATCAAACTAAAAGCTACAACAGGCATTTTATGGTTTTGGGGGAAGAAGTATTAGCATTTTATGGCAAGAGAGTTCAAGAATTCCTTGACACATTTACTTGTTTTTACCAATATAGAACTATATTGAATATTAGAACTTGCAGAGATCTTGGAAACCATGAAAACTGATGATTTTCAAACTACATTCTACACAAGATTCCCAGAGTTCCTCCGAGATGACATGAAGCTCATCCCCAAGGCCATCCAGGATGGGTGAGGAGCTTCCAAGGTCTTGAGCTTCCAAGGTCTTGCTTCTAATTCAGCCAGAGTGGCTTTGCTTCCATCTGCTTTCTGTGCTGCAATTCTGGATAAGAATTTATCTGATTTAACACAAATCTCATTGAGTTTTTTTCTAAAGAGAAAAGTGGGCCTCAGTGAGGTGGACAGATGTGCATAGTATCACGTAGCAGGTTAATAACACATCAGAAGTAAAACCCAGGTTTCCTGACTGCCCAATAGACCACATTCTACCATGGAAACTTTCAAGTCGATTAAAGTAAAAACAAACAAACAAACAACCACCACCACCACAAAAACCCCAAGGAGTTCTTTCATTTGATAAAAACAGTAAAACCTAAACCAAAGGAACTGGAATTTAGAGGTTAGATAAGATGCCAGAGACTGGGCCTTTACATTGTTTTGTAAATTCTTCAGACTTTAATCTCATTTAACTTCCCCATCTATGCAAAAAAGAATACAATAATTGCTTTCTTAGGAAGCATTCCAAGGGCAAAATAATTCATATGTGTCAACTACCATGGGGTTTGGGAATGAAAAATTCCCTACAGCTCTAAAGCAAGCATTATAATTTGAGGTTTCCTGGCAGTTTTTGCAAGAAAAGAAAAACTAACCTTTCTTTTCCGGGCCAAATGCCAACGTAGGTAATTACCCTTTGCCCACTTTCTTTCTCCAAGCTGTTTTAATTAGATAAGAACTCTGCCTTCACTTCCTTTGGCGAACTGTATTGGGATGTTGCCACATGCCCTTCAACAACTATCAGTGCTGTAGTTTGCTGAGTGCTTTTCCCTTCAGAATGGGAAAGGTTTTGTCATAAGGACCCGACTTTCCTTATGGAAAAGGATCCAAAGGGTCCAAAATGCTTTCCAAGAAGCAGAGCGAAGAGGGGGCACATTTTTATGTTTCCCAACACTGGAGCCCTCAGTTTCTAGTAGGTTCCAGGGACCCCAAGAGCAATCAGGAAACTGTACCTTCCCCGCTTGTGCTGGATATCTCTGGCAGATGTTAAGGGAAAAAATGGTTCAATAGATCAGTCTTGCAGTCAACAGCCACCTCACGATCTGTCTCCTACTCTTTGAAAAATTGCCCATAGAACTGATGGATCTACAGAGTCACAGTGACAGGGCATCCACTGAGCCCCACCACCTTGCCGACAATGTGGCTTTCCCATAGCAACAGGACAGGAGTGCCCAGTGCCAGGTACAAGCAGGCTTTGCACTAAGAGCTGAGTTCTAGGACCAACTTTCCTACTTAACAGTAATGTTATTTTAGGCAAGTTATTCAAGTTCTAGAAACTTCTTTCCTCAGGCTTACATTGTTTTTGACTTAAAATGTCTTGGAGCTGTCCATTATCACCACATGCAATCTACTTTATTATTTTGTTAATAACTGCACAGCATTCCATCATGCAGTACCATTATTTAACTATTGATGGACATTTAGGCTGCTTCCAGTGCTTTTGCCCTGGGAGCCAATGCTGCAATGCAGGTGGGTCATTTCACACGTAAGAATATGTCTCTGTAAGGTACAGTCTTACAAGTGGAAATGCAGAGGTAGAAAGATCGTTTGCATTTGAAAGTTAGATAGATAGAGCCAACTTGCTCTCTGTTGCAGATGGTCCTTTGTACTCTCACCAGCAGTGCCTGAGAGTGTGGTTTCCAAGAGGTGAAAATGGCATCTCTTTATAATTTAATGTGATTTATTTTTTGTAATGAATGATGTTGAACATCCTTTCATATTTTAACGAACTATTTTAATTTCCCTTTCTGTAACTACCCAAGCCTTTTGTGTACTTTCTCTTGGGTATTGGTCTTCTTATCAAAATGTAAGGACTGTTTACATATAGGGAAATTAACCCTTAGTTTGTGGTATGAATTGTAAATATACATGCATACATATGTATATGTAAAGTTTATCTTTTAACTTTGTGTATGGAATAGTTTTCCAAGCAGAGTTTTAAAAAGTTGTTTTATGACTTTTTAGTTTTTATCATATTTAGACAGGTCTTTCTCATTCTGAAATTAAAAAAATAAATACAATCTCCCAATGTTCTTCTCAGTATCTTGTGACCTCATTTTTCACATTTAAATATTTGATCCATATGGAATTTATTTTAAGCTGTGAAGTAGAGGTCTAATTTTATTTTATTTCTTCAGATGGTCATTTAGTTGTTTCAGTATTGTTTGCTGAATAGTACATCAATCTCCAACTGAATTTATCATATACTAAATTTCTTTCTGTGTTTTGATATATTGTTGGAATTTCGAATCTGTTCCACTGATTTTTTGGTCTGTGCTTATGCAAAGAAAACATTGTTTTAATAATTGGAATTTTATAATGTGCTTTATTATCTAATAGAGTATCTCTCTTCTGATTTTTTCCCCAGAATTTTCCTGGCTAGTCTTGCTTGTATATTTTTCATATAGACTTTAGAATCCACTTATTCTCTCCCTCCTCAACAAAATCAGTTAGTATTAGAAGAGGATAGTGAATTAAATTTATGGATTACTTTAGGATGACTGTGTATTTATGATGTTGGACCTTTTTATTGAAGACTATGATATATGTCTTTCCATTTAACTATTTTTGTGTCCCTCTGTAGTATTTTGAATTTTCTGTATTTCTGTCTCTCTGTGTTCCATATAATCACAGTCATTTGTCATAAAGTGTAGATATTATGAAGAGGGGATAATAATGATACCTACCTCAAAGATTTACTGTTAAGGATTAAATGAAGATAATATACAGTGCCTGGCTGTAACACACACAAAACATATAATGTATGACAAATGCACACATTGCTATATCCGGGACTATGTGTGACTAATCCAATAAGATAAGTCAGTCTTTCAATAATCTCAAATTTCCATGGTTGTGACTCATACTTGGCTCTACCCTTGAAATAGACACTATTATTCTACCTATGCCACACTCACTCATGTCCTGCTCACCTCCACAATAGGTGTATTGAGGTGACCAGAAGTCCCAACAGGGGTGTCTGTGGGCATCTTTGTGGGACATGAGATAAACAGGGTATGGCTGCTCTGCCTGCCGAAGGGAGGTAGGTACCAGCACCCAGAAAGAGGTCATCGCATGGAAGTCACATTTCACAGCTCTCTTGACAACTGTGGACTAGGAAGAAAATAGTGCCAGTTACACTATAGATTTCAGACCTATTTTATTTCTGTTTTGAAAGTAGAGGCTCTCCCTCCATAGGATAGTAGGGGTTTGATAAAATTGCTCAGTTGTCAATCCCATGAAGAGTGGGGATCATCATCTCCTGACACTCAGCACTCCTTATACAGGTATTTTACACACCTGTGCACACTCACTGTATACTCAGTATTGTAAAGCAAGTTTTACTTGCTTTATCATATTTAATCTTCTGATGGTAGGTGTAATCATCCCATTTTAAAGATAAAATAACTGAAGGTCAAGGTCACAGATCTAAAAACTGGCAAAACTGTGGCGAGAGATTTCTTGTCTCCAAAATCTGTTTTATTAATCACATTCCAAAGAAGTTAAACAAAATAGACTATAAAATAAAAATAAATTAAACTACTATTTGACTACATGTCAGGGCAAGCTCCTTCATCTGGAACAGAAGCATTGTCATGCCAGGTATTATTAATGTACAAATTCTTTTTGTTAATAAATAAAATCACACCCCAAGTATGTAGTTCTTTGTCTTCCTTGAAAGTCGGCCTGAAAAGGTCCTGGGAAATGTAACTACATTTTCAGTTGCATTTCCTTTCAGGGGATAAGATTTACATTTTTATACGATCTGAAAACGCCATAGGAGCAATATCCGAGGAGTACTCTATTCAATTATTCCTCTTAATTAAAAAATTTGCCTTCATTTGTTAGAAAACTTATTTATGTCATACTTCCATTTGCCCTTTCCCAGGCAACCTAGCCAATGTCTGAGAAATATATTCACAAATGGGAAAAATGGTTCAGCGAATTACTTATTCCCCAAGGGAAAAGCATGTGGCTAATGAATCAGGGGAACCTGATTGTCCAGGGAAGAGAACACTCGAGGCGTTTCAAACATGAGTCACAGAACATAAGGACTACCCCATGATCAAAAAAGGTGAATGAACAAAGCCAGAATTCATTTTTTAGTTTCCATCAATGTAATCGGTATGGGCTTGTCTCCACACAGGCTGGGGAGGCCTGCGTGTAATGGATCAGAGTTTCTCACTAAAGTACCCAAAGGGAAGCCCTGTCAGAGAAGGAGCTCCAACTAGGCATGGAGGGCCCAGGGCCTGGGAACCAATGTTGGGTGAATGGGTCAGGCTAGTGGAAAGTCACGTTGACATTCGAACAAGGGGAGAGGCCTGGAGTCTGGGAGGGGAAGTATGCAGAGAGCTGGCAGGGGATGGTGGCTGGACTAGGTTTCCAGACTACCTCATTCCTAGAAGAACTGGGGAGATCAAATCTGGGACTTACTCTTGCAGGAAGTGGAGTATTTGGTGTTTTAGTAAGGGAGATACTTGGGCAAAAGAGCTGACTCTGGGGTGGGAGGGGAAGGCTTGTTCCTGGGAACTGCATGTCTGTCTTGCTCATTGCTACCTTGTCTTGTAGAGGAGGCCCTCTGCTTGGCACACAGGAGATACTCAATTAAGTGTTTGTTGAGTGAATAAATGAGGCATAAGGCAGACACCCAGGATCAGAGTGGAGGACACGTGGCGAGAGCAAGTCTCTGAGTGAGGTTGACTTGATTCTGAGTCACCTGAGCAATGACTAAGGACACGGTTATCCCAGAGCCTGGGGTGGGGCTGAAGCTGCTGGTGGCAGGTGCAGTGGCTGGGTGCTGGGCCCAGGAGGGGAAATTAGGAGGATGAAGAGTAGGCAGGCAGTTCCTTACTCACTCTCTGACAGCTTGACATTATTATTAAGACTTCACTTTTGATCAAACACACTGAAAATATTGCCAGTTTCCTCGGTTTCCACGGAGCCTCTTATTAAAGAAGTCACACCTCCCACATGTCCATGGTTCATAATCTTGTGAGTTTCCCTTCAGTTTCAATTTATTTAATGCTCACTATGTGGCTGGCACTGTGATAGGTCCAGTACAGCTGGTATCTCTGTTCCTCCAAGTAATCTTTAAAGGTGCCACTCTGCTTATCAGCTCCTAGATGCTGCTGACACTGCTGGTCTCTACGTCTTGCCACTGGATGGCAAGAATGTGCAGCAGAGTGGGCCAGATAGTGAGTGTCTTCAGCTTTGCGGGCCATGGTCTCTGTCACATCTCCTCAACTCTGTCATAGATGCATAGTGCAAAAGCAGCCATAGAGGACGCATGAACAAGTGAGTGTGGCTGTGCGCCGAGAAAAACTGCATTTATGGACACTGAAACTTGAGTTTCACGTGATTTTCAAATGGCACAAAGTATCATTTTTCTTTTGATTTTTTTTCAGCCATTTAAAAATGTAAAAAGATGTATTAGCTCGTAGGCTATAGTTCCCTGACTTCCAGTCCAGAAAAATCAGTGGCGTCAGTCTCAAGGAGGTGGAGAACTTCCCAGAAGGATAGCCCAGGGTTTGAGATTTCTGTGAGATCACCGCCAGCCACAGCAGGTGGCAGACGGATGACTGAGACGGGGAACACCAGCGGTGGAATCAGATTTGCCCCTTCCATCAGGGCGACACAGCGAGGCTTCTTACTCTCTTAATACTGTAGTTTCCTCACATACAAAGTGGGGCTAGAACGAGTACCTATGTCACAGGGTAACTGTGATGAGGAAAATAAATGCATTAATGCGAATACAGCTTTTGTGATGCCTGACAGAGAGGAATTACAATGCTAGATTTGTCATGTTAGCATCAGTGACAAGCAGGATGTGCGGACAAGAGCCCCTGAGAACCCGAATGCACGGCAGCGTTGGTCAACTTAAAGGTGGCCTGAGAGAGAATTTGTGGATCACCGCACTGCAGTTGTAAACAACCGTACAGTTTTGAGGAATCGAGCACTAAGCTCAGTTCAGTAAAGTGGAGGTGAGATCAGTGCTGAGTCTGAAGGAGATGTCTTTTTAGGGGAGGGGACAGAAACTCTCTGGAGAACTGTAGGCAAGGCACGGTGACATGGTCGGTATCTAGGCAATAAGAACAAGTAATAGAGCTGACACTTAGATAGCATTTACAATGTGTTGGGCAATGGTCTAGTGTTTTATAAGCAGAAAACTAACCCTCATGATCACTTTATAAAGTAAGCACTATTATTATCCTAGGCAACTGAGAAAAAGAGGTGGTAAACAACGTGCCCAAAGCCACCCTTTCTTTAAGTGGCAGCACAGTCTGGCTCCAGCCTCCTTGTTCTTAATCACTATGATGGAAGTTTTTACCCCAGGCTCTGTAGGTTCTCTAGATAAAATTAGCATGACCAGACTTGGGGACAGCAGGACGGGAGATCTCCTCCCAGGGAACAGATGGGGCTGTGGGGATTTGCAATTCTTTTATGCCACTAGGCTGTGACAGATAGCAAATACTGTTCATGTGCACATGGAAATAGATCTTTGTCTTCATATTTCACACTTACTAACCTCTCAAGCCAGAGTCCTGGTCTAGTCACACAACACACTGTGCCAATTCAGACTGTAACCTTCATTTCTACGTAGATTCATTTTCAGAAGCAGGTGGGGGTGGCACACATATTTTTGTCTCCACTCTGTGTGGGTGATGGCCCTGGCCTCATATGTGGACTGTGCACAGGCAATATGAAACAGAAAGGTGCCCGTTATGGATCAGAGGGAAACATCACTTGAACCAGGTCTCCTGAAATTAGTGCCCCTGATTACTTGGATCCTATGAGTCTATAGAAAACTTTGGGTGATTCCCCACATCATGACTATTTTTTTTTTCCCATCAGTAATCTATAATAAAAGACGTTGGTTTTCCTGTTTTATCTGACAATTAAACAGCTCTTCTAAAATTGGATACAGAAAAGGAATTTTTAATGAGGGTATTCCCAACTCTATATACCTCAGAGGATTTGCACTGGAAAATTGATCTCACTGTGTAGGCCCATATTTGGTAGCTTCCTCATCAATGAGATCAGATTTCCTGGGTATTCCAGAGTTGCCTTCCCCAGATTTTTTTACTTGAAGCACCAAACCTAGAAATCTTATGTTACCTTTTCTCAGAGGTTAAAGAATGATAAATGAACTGCCTGTCTTTTGTATATAAAAGCTGTATTTATAAGCTTTGGCCATGATTTTGCGTCATCTTTCCTGGTTAAGCAAAAATAATCTCAAATTTTCTAAATTCCCCAAGAGTTCCTTTCAGCTAATTAGTGACTGTGATCTTCTACATTATTTTCTAAAGTGTAATAGATATGTCTTGGATTCTAGCCCTGTACATAATTAATATTTTTATCACTGTAATGATAGCTAGCCCTTAGCCACACTGACACACAAGTAAACTAACTGGCATTTGTAAGTAGATTTTCTTTCACTTTTCTTTTTAATCAATTTAATACTTAGAGTTGTTTTTTTTTTTTCTTTTTTTAATGAGACCCATTTGAGTTTTATAAGAAATATGCCTGCAGCTATTTAAAGACAGAGCTTGCCTCATTTCTCTGGGATATACAGCCAACAAAATCATTGGAAATAATTGTTTAGTTAAACAAGAGTCATAAAAAAAAGTCCTGAATTGCTCTAAACATACTTTGTAACAGTTTCTTAATATGCTATGAGAGTCAGTGCAATCAATTAGAAAAATACGCAGCCGAATACCAGGAATTCCTATCCTCTGTTGAGCCTCACTCGTAAATATCATATGACCTTAATTTAAGTAACTGACTTGGGACAGATCCTTATGGCAGTAAAATGTTGATTTTGTGTTCTAGAAAGGGATGGATTGTTTTTAATTTAAGCCAGACATACGCCGTTACCTAATATTTGCTCACAGCAGACTAGAAAAAACAAACTTTTTCTAAAATATCTTAAATTTGAAAAGAAAATGATTTCTAAAGGTGTTCGGATGTTCAGTAAACAGATGAGCGGACAAGCATCCTAGTCTAGAGGAATATAAAGGTGATTTAGGTTATTTTACCTTTGGTTCCCCTTGGTTTGATGAGGAATTTATTATCTTTTATGTGATGTGTATTTAACTCCCAAGAACCCATACTGAGCAATCAGGACAGTGTACACATTACGTACTATGTTGTGGTTATCAAATGCTGTAGGAACTCAAGGGAGGATATACCAACCAGGCAGGAAACAGCCAGGGGTAGAAGCTCCGCCGGAGGAACTGAGAGTTGAGGCTGGTCTTGAATGACAGGGACGGTGCCCAAGGGGTTCTGGAGAAAGGGGAGGGCTTTCTGGAAGGAAGCCAAGTGGGCCAAGTCATGAAGGTGGGAAAATGAGCTTGACAGGTTGATGGAAGAATGGAAAAACTCGCCTGCCTTGAGCAGAAGAAAGCTGGGGCTGGGCAGCATTGTAGGGGCCGTGCAGGTTTTGCTGGGGAACGTTGGCTGCATTAGGGAAGGGAAAAGGGGAGCCTCTGAAAATTGTAAGCAGGAGCGCTGTGATGAAAATGGTTTTTAGAGCACATTGATTTGGCGGTGAGGTACTCCAGGACAGACTGAGAGGCAGTCCTTTGGGTAGCAGCTTCTTATATTTTTGTATATCGTAATATCTTAATTTGGGAGATTAGCTATTTCATCATTCCATAAACTGTTTACCTTCACATTCACTTAGATGTTTTATACAATATTTTAAATTTATTTAATGTAATATTGGTTCATTATTTTATATTGAAATACTCCATACAATTGTGTTATGTCACTTCCAGCTCTTATGGACCACGGCTAGGTAAAAATACATGAGTGGTACTCTGTCAGGGCCTGGGCTGTGTTCGTACACAAGGCGGATATGCTGTCTGCCCTCAAAAAGCATCTCCACTGTGATTGATCATGAGCAAATCATTGCAAAATATTAAGTTACAATGGTGGCAAATGCTAAGAAGTACTACCGTGTTTCCCCAAAAATAAGGCCTACCCATAAAATAAGCCCTAGCAGGATTCTTAAGCATTTGCACAATATGAGCCCTACCCTAAAAACAAGACCTAGTGATGGACGTGGCTATGCAGCCTATCTGCACAACCCATGCTTTTCCTCAAGGAGCGGTAAAGAAGACGAGCAGCCCTTCTCATCTGCCCCATGAGAGCTCTATTGCTCGACATGAGAGACTGGGGCTAATGGTTCTAAAGGAAATGGAGTCACAAGAAATTCAGGATGGAATTTGGGGTTTGGAGAGTTATGATGATGTTCCAGAAGAAGATGACTTAACTATATTTGAATAAATGTAGGTTGTTGTACTGTACTTAAAAAAAATAACATAACCTGAAAATAAACCCTAGGGTGTCTTCTTGAGGAAAAAATAAATATAAAACCCTGTCTTATTTTCGGGGAAACACAGTAGGTGCTATGGGGAAGTCTAATCGGGGAGTCTAATGTGGATTTAGGGCCTGAGGATTGGGGAAAGTCTTCTTGGGGAAGTGACATTCAGAATGAGATCTTTTTGGAGTGGAGGAAGAGAGAGTAGAAGCTAAAGGGAGTTAGAAATTCTAAGAAGAGGAAATTGCACTGTGAGGGACCTGAGGTGAAACAGAGTCCAGAGTATTCAAGGAACTGAAAGAAGCCCAGCTGGGGCTAGTGGGGGGGCAGGGCCTGGGCCGAGGGAGGGAGGCTGGGAGGCGATGGATGGTGCCTGGCCTGGCAGACCACAGGAAGGGCTTTCATTTCCATTTTCCTCAAAGGGTGTCCACCCCCTGCCCCTAGCCACAAGTCACAGCGACTTCAACATCCAAGCTCACCGTCCTCTAACACCATACAATGTACATCTGAGCGTGGCCACATCTTAGAACTCAAGGTCAACTGAAAGTGTTCTACCTCTCTCATCCCAAATGCTGAAATTCTCTCCTCTGACCACAGTCACATATCCCTTCATCTCCCACTGAACTGCCATTTGGCCTCAGAGCACCTTCTGTTCCCTTCACTGTTCTAGAACCCTTCGTTTCCTAGGCTTCCTTCCAGCTGCTTGTCTATGACAGCACAGAACTCAAACTCAGCCACATTTAACCATGCCCTTATTGGTGTGGGAAAGCTCTCTTTCTGGCTGGCCTTCTACCATTCTTACTTTCCCACACATCACCCCAGAATAAAGATGAACTTATTTTCTTTGCTCCATCCTTAAGCTTTGCTGGGAAACGCAGGTGGCTTCCTAGTGATATTCCTACTCATTCATGCTACTAGTTTCAACTGGACCTTCATGTCACTTGATGACCATTGATTTATGATTGCTTATTTCATTCATCCTAACCGCTTTCAAACTTTCCAATCTTATCACCCTAACCCCAAACCTGCTCCCCCTTGACATTTGTTTCCTATGTCAGGAATGGGCACTCCACCCTTGAGTTACCCATGCCAGGAACCAGGAGTTCCCTGGATGCCTCCTTTCTCCCTCTCACACTCCCTCCCAAATCCTGTTAATTGCATCAACTCAGCTTCTCTCTTTTCAGTTTGCTTCTCTCTCTCTCTTTTTTTTTCCTTGTTTGAGACAGAGTCTCACTTTGTTGCCCAGGCTAGAGTGATTGCCATGGCATCAGCCTAGCTCACAGCAACCTCAAATTCCTGGGCTCAAGTGATCCTCCTGCCTCAGGCTCCTGAGTAGCTGGGACTACAGGCATGTGCCACCATGCCCGGCTCATTTTTTCTATATATATTAGTTGGCCAATTAATTTCTTTCTATTTATAGTAGAGATGGGGTCTCACTCTTGCTCAGGCTGGTTTCAAACTCCTGACCTCGAGCAATCCACGCCTTGGTCTCCCAGAGTGCTAGGATTACAGGTGTGAGCCACCGTGCCTGGCCAGCTTCTCTCTATCTTAATAGCTGTTTCCTAGATTCAGACTGTCATTGCTTTCCTTGCCTCTCCTGTGGAATTCTTCTAGTCTTTCCTCTGCATAGTCTCAGACATGAAATCTAATCTTGTCACTGCTTTGTTTTAAATTTGCCAATGACTCCCATTACCTATAAGAGGAAAGTCCAGCCTCGTTATATGGAAAACAGAGCCTCTGTAGCCTGGCCTCCTGCCCACCTGTCTGACCTTTCTGCCCAGGGTGCCACCCCCTTCTGCCCCATCCCGCCCCTGAACCTGACTCCCCAGCTGTTCATACTCGCCCTCTTCCTCTGGCCCACCTTGCTGTTGCCAGCCTGTGGACATCGGCTTCCTCTGTCCAGGTGTCTTTCCCCACCCAGGTTACTCCCCACATGCTTGATGTCTTTGCTGTGCAGCGCGCAAGCTCCAGGACACTGTTCTGAACCATCTTCCCTCCCTCCTCTGTGGGCAGTCCTGACCTCTCCTTCCTCCAGGCCCCACTCCACCCAGTGGGTATTTCTATCAGAGCACTCATTATACTTAGTCGTAGTAATTTGTTTTCAAATATCTCTTCTTCAAAATGGTTGTAAGCTCCTCAAAAACAGGGCTTAAGTATCACTTGACTTGGCACGCTTGGTACCCAGCACAGCTCCTGGCCCACGGCAGCCACACAGACATGATCACCAGAGAAACCAAAGGGCAACCTCTGGCTTGGCACGTGATCTCACGGGTGACCTTACTGAGACTAACTCCTCCTCATGGGGGACCCTTCCCTCTTTCTCCTCTACTTTCTTTCCAGAGGAGCATCCTGTGCCTTCTCTCTTTCTTCAATCCTGTTTTAAGGAAGAAGCGTCCCTCATCCTTTCCAAGACTTACCTCAGCCCTCATGTCTGGGATCCAACATGCTCCCATTTCTCCTCTACTTTGTTCCCTAAGTTGTTGGTCCTCTGTTTTCTACTTTCTGTTTCTTCTTCTACTTTTTTTCCTTCTTGCTTACAAATGAGCTCTTTTTCTCCTATTATAATAAAAGGAATCTACTTCCCTAACCCCTCCATGATCATCCTGTCTGCAGTATTTTTCCCCGCCATGCTCAGCCTGTACCCACTCTCTCATTTACCTAATTATTTTCTTAATTGCACTCATCACAACACTATCATTTTATTTTCCTGTTAACTTACTTTCTGTACCCACTAGAATGAAAGCCCCATCAGGGCTGGGACCACTCTCTAATGTCTAGCACAATGCCATGGGCAGAGACATTATTTATCTGTTGGATAAATGAGTACACAAGTGAATAAGTAAATGAATAAATGAACCTATTATCTTTCTTCTTTTCAACTCCTTTGAATTCTGCACTTCCAGTGCTTTTTCCAACCCATTCTGGTTTCTAGTCCACAGCTTTATTGAAATTGCTCTTTCAAAGTTTGTCAATGACTCCTTTATTACCAAACCCAATGGCCTTTGTATTTTGGGTATGTCATAAACTTTTCTTGAAATTCTTCCCATTAGTGGTTTCTGGGGGAATGCACTTACCTGGTTTTCTTCCTTCACTCTGGTCACTCCTCTGTCTCTATTTCTCTTCCTCCACTCAACTTCTCAATTGTTTTCTGGGAAGTAGTCTTTTCTAATGCTATGCAACCCATTTATCTCACCCATCCCAGAGAGTTCAACTGTGACTGCCAAGTGAATGAGCTGCAAACCTGCATCTCTGTCTTCAGCCTCTTTCTGAGCTCCATGTGGGCCTTGTATTTATTTCTAAATCAGGATCCTGCAAAAACAAACCTACAAACTTCCCTCTTCCTGGGTTCCATATTTCAACCAATGAAACATCATCCTCCCATACACATAGACTCAGATCCTAGGAATTAGCTTTGTTTATCTCCTTGGCACCTCCCACTAATCAGTCACTTGCTAATCTCCTTGGCACCTCCCACTAATGTCTTGTCAATTATTCCATTGCAAGATAGCTACCTTTAATTTCCATCCTTTCTTTTACATTGGAACCATCCCTCACGTAACCTGTAAAGCAATCTTCCTGAAATACCAATTTTGAAAACCATAAGCCTCTGCTTAAAAAACTATGGCTATCTAGAAAACATTTGGAAGGATTAATAAGAAAATCTACTATTTGACTTTTGTACCATGACCATACTTAGTAGTATAAATTTATAAAAGTCTAGTTTGAAAATATCTTTTATTGCCTGTGAAGTTTACAAACTCCTCCACCAAAACCTTTATGTCCATACTCAATATAATTCCAACCCAACTTTCTATCTTTATTCTTCACTGTATGTTCTAGCCAAATGGATTATTTGTTATATATGCTCACATATATTTTTTTGATTTATGGTTGAACTTTTAATTTAATTCACTTAAAGTATTGGTCTTCAGTGAAGTTTATTTGCACATATATAGCTCAGGAAATTGAGCCCAGGGTACATATTCATATATGTACCCTGAATTGGAAAGGTCAAATTTATAACTATCCCATAGCACAGGCCAAGTTTCTTAAAATACACTTAGTGTGCTGAAATGGGGCCTCCATGTATGCTGCTCTTCAGATGCCAGGAAGCAACAAGAGCAGTGATGAGTCTTGTCTGGCCAATTTGCTGTTGAGCTCCTGTTTTCCAATATCCATAGATTCCAGGATTCAGGGTCCAGGATCCAGTGAAAAGGGGACACCTTGCAGTCAGTCATTCTACTTTTTCCTGCTATAGGTGTCAAGTCTCAGGTAGGCAAAGCAACCAGGCATTTGGGAAGTGGGAACCTGATTACTTGTTTTTACTTTTCTTTCCCCACTCTTATGTTTACTTGTTTTACTTTTTCAGGATGCTAGTTTCCCTAGTCATCCAGAGGCCAACTTAGATCCATATATGCTCATTTTGCTCTCATCCCAGAGAGAGCCGACATATCTAAATTAGAAATATGAGCTGTGAGTGCTGCTGTCTTTCACTAGCTCTGAACTTCAGCTGCTCACATCCCCAAAGTATAAGGTTATCAGAGAGCAGCAGAAGTGCCCATCTTGTTAGCATCTGTTGACATCCCTCCCCTTACCAAGCCATGGCCGTCTATGAAATTCTCCTCTCAAGGATGAACACTTGGAGCACATTAAAATTTTTTTCAAATCATTTTATTGTTTTCTTTTTATAAGAGAAATTTATTAGAAAAATATTTTTAATTACTGTATAATCATTTTAGCACTGTACAGCTAAATAATATAGTAATTGTGTTGTATATTAAATAGCCATTCTGGGAAATCTGACAACCTTTAACATTTTTGTTTTTATACGAAACCATATTTCAGGTTTCAAGCAGACAAATGTATGCAGGCTTTTGAAATATGTAATTGTAGATGTCATGATTTCAACTTTCTAACACACACACATATGCACACACTTGTGGACAAAGGCTGGATGGGAAAAGGAAAATCATTAATGTGCAAAGTGGTGAAAAAATGTTCTTAATAATGTTGTTACATGTATTTATAAAATTAAACATTGCCTTAGCAATAGGCAACTGCAAAAAAAAAGTCATCTCCTCTCTAAAGGTGATTCTTCTCCATAACCATGATATACTTTTCTGTGATCTCTTAGCACCTTAATGTGATAGTCACATTGTAGCATAATGTATAATTAATTTGCTTATATGTCTATTTTTCCAATTAACTACTTTACTTAAGGGTAGGGATTATTTTTCATTAGTCTCTGTACACTAGTTCAAGGATTAGTACTTTGAGTTGGCATTTAGTAAACTGTTGAATGAATAAATAGGTAAATTTCTTCATGTGGTATAGTGAGAGTAGCACATTCACATGTCCAGCTATTTATGATTAAACTATATGAAAATCATCTACAACATTTGAAAACTTTGGTCAAAGCAGAAAATAACCTCCTTTGAAGTAGGTATGTGCAAATAATTTGTAAGTGAATCTGGAGGGAGTGTAAACAAGAAATTTTGGAGTTTGTTCCTTTAGTGTATTCCCTGACTTCAGGCCTCATTTTCAGTTCCTCAAATTTCTGTTTTTGTTTTGTTTTTGTCAGCTTTTCCTGATAACATCATTTCCTGTCTCTAAGGTTTTAAAAGGTCTTGAAATGAACATTTCATCCAATCCTAGTCTGATCACTAGGATTCTAATGGAAGGGTTATCGATGATGACTGCTTAGGAGGAAGTGGACTAGGATTCAGGCTGGTGATACCGTGTAGGATGTAGTTGCATCACCATCACCAAAGAGAGCAGATAAGACCCAAAGAGAGAAAAATGTAGGGATTCGGGGGTTGAGATGGAAGGAAGAACCACTGAGAATGCTTGAGATAAAAAGATCTTATTTTAAAAAAATGATCATATTCAAACAAATGAAATAAGCAGAGCATTGTGAATCAATTATTCAGTATTTCCTAAATTTGCCTATAATGAGAATCGCCAGGAGTTATGTGTTAACAATAGAGATTTTTAGTCTTCTTTCAGATCAGAATTTCCAGGACAGAAGCCTTTAACACATGGTGACTCTTTGAAGCAGGCAAATTTAGAAAATATTTAATAGGTTAATTATAATTTCCTTTTGGCAAATTTAGAAGGTAAAGTCTTTAAATCC